CTAATTTGATTCAACACATAACAGCACAAAATCTCACACAAAAAAAACACTTATATTCATTCACAAATAATTACAAACATTTTTAATACATAAATTCTCAATCCAAATAGTCTTGGATGAGAAATCTCCTAAAACAAACACTAGACAATTATCACATAATAACAAACTAAACACACTTATCATTAAACAAAGACTAAACACACAAACACTAAACTACAAACTTAATTCCATTCAGAAATCTCTTAAAACAAACACTAGACAATTATCACATAATAACAAACTAAACACACATATCATTAAACAAAGACTAAACACACAAACACTAAACTACAAACTTAATTCCATTCTCTGGTCGATGGAACAAATCCTGGCCTCTCATTAGTCTCTCTTTTAGCATTTGGAATGTATATCTGAAAGAACGGACGATGATTAATTACTCTAGTAGAATCTTCTTCAATCCACTTGTTCTTCAGATACATAGCCTTGTCCACTTCTTCTATAAAATTGGTATGGTTGAACTGCATCTTAAGTTTCCATCCCATATGATCCAAATGTGCATTAACTTCCATCACTTTTGTTCAATTGAAGCCACGTTAGCCTCAATCATAGAGATTTTCTCCGCTATCCCTTCAATACTCACGGCAAGGAGACCATTGTATAACTCTTGCGCACTCTGACTAATAAACTTCTTTCTCATTGCCTCCTCTTTCCTCTTCAAATCACTCTCCCAAGATGATATTTTTCCCAAAATCTCTCTTTTTCACTGAGGATTTAGGGTTAAAATTGAATTGTGATAAAAATCCTTACATAACCCTTCTATTTATAGGCTCCAAACTCTTCTTATAATTCCTAAGCACGTCTTAGAACTATCTCCTGTGTCCAAGCCAAAAAAATCTCAGTTAAATCTTCTCAAAACAGAAATTCTCACATGTTTTTAAATTGTCGCACTTAAGCGTCAGATATTGGCGCTTAAGCGCTAGTGCTCAATTTAACACAGGTCAACTTAACGTCCAAATATTCGTTCTAACATGTCTAAGTCATCTTTAAAGGTATTAGAATAATCACTAACTTAATATATAATAAAAAATACTACCAAAATTTTATAAATCACACACAACAAAATAACAATAAAAACAAACACACCGATAACTATGGGTGGCCTTCGACAGAGCACTTGGTTTAACGTCGTCAGCCTAACGTAACCAGTGTTTATTCTGGTTGACCTTGTTTATTCTGGTTGACCTAACATCATAAAATCATTTAATTTAATTTGGTCACCTAAAAAGTAGGATTTCAGTATGTAGTCATTCACTTTGAATATTTTGTCAGTTTTAGGATCTTTGATATCCACAGCTCCATAGGGATAAACTTTCATCACAACAAATAGGCCAGCATCTTTTAATTGCATTATCTATAATTTGATTCCTATATCTTAGCACTTTCAAAAGATTCATTTTTTATCTCTTCAAGCTCATTTAATTGCAATAACCTTTTCACACTAGCATCTTTTAAACTGTAACTAAAACTTTTTAATTGCCTAATATGTTTTATGCTTAAGTTCAACTGGTAAGTAACAAACTTTCCCAAATATATTAGCATGTATGGGGACATTCCTATAGAAGCTATGTATGCAGTCTAATAAGCCCACAAAGCATAATCAGGTTTGATTGACCAATCCATTTTGGTTGGATTCACAGATTTTTCCATAATTCTTTTAATTTCACGATTGGATAATTCAGCCAAACCACTTGTCTGGGGATGATAAGCAGTACCAATTTTATGGTTTATATGATATTTTCTTAATAACTTCTCCATTATTGCATTCTTAAAATTACCTTTCCCGTCAGTTATGATTACTCTCAAGTTATGATTACTCTCAGCATCCCTCAGCATCCCAAATCTATAAATTATATTTGTTCTTAAAAACTTTGCAACACTTTGAACATCACATCGAGGTAAAACATCTTCTATCTATTTGGATACATTTTCCACTGCTAACAGTATATATAAATTTTCAAAAGATGATATAAATAGTTCCATGAATTGTCTCATGAAATCTAATCCCCAAACATCCAAAATCTCAACTTCTAACACATAATTGAGGGGCATCTCATTCCTTCTAGAAATATTGTCTACTTGTTAACATCGATCACAAGTTTTGATATAAGCGTTAACATCTCTAGAGATCGTAGACCAACAAAATCTAGATTGTAAAATTTTGTATGTTGTTTTATCAACACCAAAATATCCCCCAAAATCAAAATTATGACATTTTTGGATAATTTCATAAGTTTCTTCTAACGGCACACATATTCAAATAATTATATCTTTTCCTTGTTTATATAAAAATGGTTCATCCCAAAAATAAGTCTTAGCTTCATATAAAAATTTCTTCTTCTATTGGTATGTCATTCCATAGGGTATAATATCACAAACAATGAAATTCACAATATCGACATACCATGAAACATGCCACTCGTTAACATTGAACAATTCTTCATCTAGAAAATGTTCATCAATCTCTTTTTCAAAACTTAATGGTTTCTGTAATTCAAGTCTGGACAAATGATCAGTAATTTGATTCTCAGCTCCCTTCCTATCTACTATTTCAAAGTCAAATTCTTGCAAAATAAGAATCCATCTTATCAATCTAGGTTTTGTAACCTTCTTTTTTATTAAATATTTAATAGCAGAATGATCTGTATGCACACTATATTTAGTTCCAATTAAATATGATCTAAATTTATCAAAGGCATATACTACTACTAATCATATACTACTACATATACTACTACTAATAACTCTTTCTCAATTGTGATATAATTAATTTGAGCTTCATTAAGAGTTCTACTAGCATGGTAGATAACCTTGAAAATCTTATCATGTTTTTGTGCTAAAATAGCTTCAATAGTATAATCACTAGCATCACAAACCAATTCAAAAGATTTTTCCCAATTTGGTGAAATAATGATTGGTGCAGTGACTAATTTTTCTTTTAATAATTCAAAAGTTTTTAGGCACTCTTTAACAAATTTTAAAATTACATCTTTTTCAAGTAAATGACATAGAGGCTTAGCAATTTTTGAAAATCTTTAATATACCGCCTATAGAATCCAGCATGTCCTAAAAAACTCCTAATTTCCTTCACGCTTGTTGGGTGTAGTAAATTAACAATCACTTGAATTTTTGTAGGGTCTACTTTCATACCATTTTTTGAAATTTGATGTCCCAAAACAATTCCTCCTGCTACCATAAATTGACATTTTTCCCATGTAAGGACTAAATTTGTTTCTTCACAGCGCTTAAGATATTTTGATAAATGTTCTGAACATGATTCAAATGAAGTTCCAAACACTGAAAAATCAATCATAAAAACTTCAATACCTTTTTCAATTAAATCAAAAAAAATAGCCATCATGCATTATTGAAATGCAGCATGTGTATTACATAAACCAAAGGGCGTTCTTCTAAAAGCAAATGTATCATAAGAACTAGTAAAAGTTGTTTTCTCTTGATCCTTAAGAGCTATTTGTATTTTGTGATAATCAGTTGATCCATCTAGAAAACAAAAGTATTTATGCCCAGCTAGTCTATCTAGCATTTGATCTAGAAAGGGTAGTGAAAAATGATCTTTCCTAACGGCGAGATTTAATTTTCTGTAATCAATGCATATTCGACATCCTGTGACTTATCTTGTTGGTATTAACTCATTATGTTCATTTAAAGTCACAGTCACTCCTCCTTTTTTAAGAACGCAGTGAATCAGACTAACCCATACACTATCTGAAATAGGATATGTAATTTCAGCATCTAACCACTTTAGAATTTCTTTCTTAACAACTTCTTTCATAATAGGATTCAATCTCCTTTGAGGATCAACCCTTGGTTTACAGTTCTCTTCCATATAAATTCTATGTATACAAATTGAAAGACTGATTCATTCTATATCAGCAATTGTCTATCCAAAGACTTTCTTCTTATAACTCTTTAAAGTCTTTAAAGTTTTCATCAAACTCTCTTTTTCTTCTGGAGTTAATTTTGAGGAAATTATGACAGGTAATGTAGATGAATCACCTAAAAAGACATACTTCAAATGTTCAAGAAGCAACTTTAACTCGAGCTCAGGAGGTTTTTCAATTGATGGACAAAAAGATGTATATTTTTTCGCCGTGTCCAAAGCTTCAAAACTTTCTCAAACATAATTTAAATGTTCCTTATATAAATCTTCATATTGATTTAATTCCTCTTCTTGTTCGTGTTCCAACTCTTTAACATCAAATTTTTCTTCAATTATTGCTTTGAAATGACATTCACTTAAATATCTTATCAAATTCATTCTATAGCATTCATCATCTTTACCTTTTGCAGGGTATTTCATTGATTTTGAAATATTAAATGTAACTGTTTGATCATTGACGCGCATAGTTAATTCTCCTTTCTACACTTCTATCATTGCTCTTCCAGTGGTTAGGAAAGGTCTCTCCAAAGTGATAGAAATCTCCTTATCTTTCTCCATATCTAGTAAAATGAAATCAAGGATAGATAAATTGATCCTTTCACTAGGACATCTTCTATGACTCCCTTAAAATATGTTATTGAACGATCTGCTAGCTGCAGAGTTATAGTAGTAGGGGATATTTCTCCTAATCTCAATCTTTTAAATAAGTTTCTTCACCACATTTGCATAAGTAGCACCTGAAAGCCAATCTCAAACTTTTTAACTTTAAGATAACATCTAAAGGAAGCAAAGAATAGAAAAATCTTCAAAGAAAGAAAGATAAGGAGGAAGAGATAAGCATGCCAGGTCAGATGACCCCATTTCCAGCTACTAAAATTATGCAAATTATTATAAAGTATTTTTGATATAGAAGCACTTGTTGTGAATTTCCATAGAGGCTTATCAGATTTAGCATGAGATATGGGAATTTTAGCAATAGGAACAACATTCTCACCCAACAGCTCTTTTAATTTAATTATATCCCAGTTGCCATCAATCCAACAATCAGAAACCAATATATCATTACTCAAAGAAGAACCAACATCATGAAGATCAGAAATCCCCCATGCTCATGCCATAAAGAGACCTTTCCCTCACCAATATCTCAGTAAATGAATTGATTAGCCAAGGTTCTGGCCTTTAAAACAGATTTTCAGATTTTAGAATCCCCACTTTCTAGTTCACAGAAAAGGTTAACAAAAACAATATTAATAGTTTATCCGCATATGCTTTCACTTGTACAAGTTGGCAATCTCTACGCTGTACCGATCAATCACTTTTTGCCTTCTCACTTTCAATGTGGCCGTCAATAATCCATTCTCAATCGTGAAGGGCTCATCTACAATCATTATAGGCCCGATATTGAAGGAGCAATCTTTAGTCCAGTTTCTTACTTCGTCATGTAACAGGCCTAGCATTTTGTCCTTGCTGAGATCAGGATTCTCATCATTGACTAACAAAAGATAGCTGACGCAAAAACCTCATCCATATTTGGGACAACAAGAGCTCCAAGCCTACGTTGATCCTGACCAATGACCACAATATGTTGAATTGAACAAAAATAAATTGTTAAATTCATCTTCGAAAGATAAATGTAAACATTACACCTGTGCTGAGAACAATTGTATCCTTTGCACGTCCTTCAATAACAAGCATGCCTCCACATTGACGGCTAATCCCAGCAGAATGTTTGGGCACAATCCAACCTATATCACCGCTGTTAAACCATCCGTCTTTATCGATGGCTTCACCCGTAGCAGATGCATTCTTGTAGTATCCCTTCATGATCTGTGGCCCTCTTAGTTTGACAATGCCTTTAGAACCATCCGGAAGAGATCTACCAGTTTTCAAATCTACTATCATGATTTCTGTAAATTTAAGTGGAAGCCCAACGGTTCCAAGGACATTGTTGTGAGGACTTCGACAAGCCACTACAGGGGAGGTTTCTGTAAGACCATAACCATTTTGCAGCTTAACACCAATAGCCTCAAAAAATTTGTCAATATGCAATGGCAAACTCCCACCACCACTTATACCAGCTTTCGAAATTCCAATTGCTGTGTGAATTTTATTATAGACTAGCTTCATCCCCAGGATATGGAATGGCCACAAAATGGCAGCAGCAACTCTTCCCCATAAATTGTAGAATAAAGCCACAACAGGCGATTGTTGATTTTTTGTCATTGTTAACACCTTGCCCTCATAAATCCTCTTTGCATCCATGTATAGAAGACTCATCCTGATAAGTAGCAGTGCAACAAACTTCCGAGCAGCAGAGCTTGACGATAATTGTTTTTTGATTGAACTGTAGAGAGTTTCATAAACCAGGGGAACTGAAACTAGGTACTGTGGCGGATACCGCTTCAGATCATCCTTCAATTTTTTCACATTTGTGTAAACCTGCTCAATCCCATAAGTAAATGTCACGTACTCAACAACACGCTCGTAAGCATGCCATGATGGAAGCATGCTTAAAAACCTATCTCCAGCTACCGTAGGTACAACATCCCCAAGGTTCATTATCTGATGTAAAAGATTTCGATGTGAAAGCATTACACCTTTCGGCGTGCCACTTGTTCCACTAGTATACATGAGCGTTGCAATATCATCAGGTTCAATGGTTTCAAACGCATGAAATTCACCTTTTTTGCAAGAACTGAGCAATGAAAGGCGGCTTTCATGACCGAGTCCAATGATCTCCTCGAAATCATACAGTGGAATATCCTTTGCATAGTCGCTGTTGAGAAATGACTTACCACCCCAAAGTAAAACCACAAACCTTATGTTCGCCCTTGGGATCAAAGATTCAGCAAGCTTGTTAAAAAACTCCGGATTGTCGACCACAAGTGCAATGCTGTCTGAATGGTTATAAATTTTCACTAGCTCGTCATTAGATGACCTCGTCCCTCTAACAACATTAATAGCACCAGTAGCCATGGTACCTTGATCTGCAACAAGCCACCGGGATGAATTGTCAGCAAATAGTGCAATCTTCTCTTCTGGAAGCAGACCAACAACTCTTAAACCTTCAGAAAATTCCAAAATATCCTGCTCAAGCTGCTTGTAAGTTCGCTCCGTGGGAGGATCATGGTAGAGATCCACCAAAGCTTTCCGATGCCCATATTTCTCTGCTGTTGATTTCCAAATATCTGGAACTGTCCTCCACTCATTTGAGGCCAAAGGATTAGCATTAGATAAGAATTCCGCGTCCAATATAGGCGAGCATTTTCTTCTAAATGCACGGTCTGTGAGAACTCACCTCCAAGCTAGCGAACAATCTGGGTCGCCACATCCAGCGATACTCGGCAACAAAACATGGCTTCCAGTCGAAAACTCGGGTAGGGAAGAGTAAGGAAACTCCCGGCTTATCGAAGACGGAAATGGCAGGCGTAGAATTGAAGCTGATCGGCATGCCAAATTTCACCAGAGATCAAACAGAGAAAACGAGGTAGGATAAGGATGAGAAGGGAAGAGGCGATGAACTTCCCAAAACGGGAATGCTCCCAGCCGGCAGAAAACATAAGGAGCACGTGCCCACATTAACTGCTTCACCACTCACGTGTCATCGCATCATTTTCGGCGGTTCCGTGGAGATATTAAATTACATCATCTTGGACGGTTCCGTCTAATTTAATATCTCCACGGAACCACCGAAGATGATGCGATGACACATAAGCGTTATGTTATAGGTGAAGTAGTTAATACTGGGCACGTGCTCCTTTTATATATATATATATATATATATATTGAAAGAAGAAAAATTATATTAATTAGAAAAATAAGGTTTACATCTGATATAAAGTAAAAAACTACATCCCCTCTTATTAAAAAAACAAGTTCAGAAGCACGATAAACATTTAACATTTAACATTGGAGAAGTAGAAGAAGCCTTCTTTTTAGCTAACCAATTTGCACAACGATTTCCTTCTCTAGGCATATAACTCTTAAGAATCACCAAATTAATGTTGGAAGACAGAGCCAACACCTGTTTGAGAAGAGAAACCATAAACCAAGGCAGTGAATGTAATTTTTTGATAATGTCCAATAACCAAATAGAATCCAAATCCACATGTAAGAACTTCCATCCCAAAGTAGAAGCAAGAGAGACTGCCCAGAAAATAACTTGAATTTCAACATGTAAAGCATTCATAGCCATGATTGGGGAGTAAAAATAGAGAAGACGATCGCCTTTATAATTTCTGAAATACCTCCCATTCTAGCTAAGGAAGATTTATAACTGCCATCAGTATTAAGCTTTATCCAAAGTTTGACAGAAGCCCTCCAAAAAATTTTCTGAATCAATAAAGAGATAGGTTGTGGAATACCAGGAGTCTTCAAATATTTGTAGTCTTTGTTGCTGACATTATAGAGCAAAAATTTGGTAATCTTGTAAAAATAAGACATGCAATGAAAGCTTGCCTATGAATGTGTAACAGTGATTTCCTCAAAATCTGATTTTATTTCTAGCCATCCATAAGAACCAAGTGATGGTAGATGGAATGATTTCAGATTTCACTTCTTTCCAAGCTTTCCAACAATCAGAAAAGGTTAACTAATCAACCGACAACTGAAGTTGTAAACGGGAAAAAATCACCTTCCAAACAGTTTGTGCAACATTACATGTAATGAAAAGATGTGATAGAGATTCCTCAGCACCATTACAAAAACTGCTTCTAGAAGGTCCTCTCAAACCTTTTATTTGAGAATATCATCTATTGGAAGAATGTTATGAAAGCATCTCCAAGAAAATAATGACATAGAAGGACTTAGATATTTTCTCCAAATAGATTTTCCCCAATTAACAAGAGGCCATTGATTAGTATGATAGTAAGCATATTTAGTGAAAGAGAGATGATGAGGATTCTTAGTAACAATTTTATCCCCTTGATGAGGATGAAAAGGAATTTGAGTAACCTAAAACTGTATCTCTTTATTAACCAGATTTCTACGCAAATCATTATTTCAATGATTATTAAGCAAACATTTTTTGGCAGTTAACGGAGCAACGTCCTCGTAGTGTTCAGCAATTTTACCCTCAAGAAGCCAGTTGTCAAGCCAAAAGTCAACCTTACCTTCACTAATATCTCAAATAAAAAGATCTTCAGCTTCATCTCTTATTTCAAAAGTTCATACCAAGTTCTAGAATCACCTAATTTTCTCTGAATGAGAATTGGATGAGTACGTTTATAATATACCACTCAAATAAAATCAGTCCAAATAGTATTTTGAGCCCAAAATTTTATCCATAATTTGTAGTAGAAAATCTTGTGAAGATGGTTGAAAGATTTAATCCTCAAACAAGCTGCAAAGATAAGAAGACAAAGCTTATCCCATTTCATCCGATGAGTTTGTTATGTTTTCCTTCCCATAGAAATCTATTAAGAATTCTTTCTAGAATTACTTGAGAGCTCTTTTTCATCTTAAAAATTTATAACAGATACATAGAAAGGGAGGACAAAATGCTCTTAATGAGCGTAATCTGGCCACCAGTGGAGAAAAATGCATTAGTCCAACAAAAAATTTGTTTAGAAAATTTAGACATCACCTCATCAAAATGGGTATGTGGTTTTCTTCCCTTAATAAGATGAGTTCCCAAGTAATTGATAGGAAGCTTGGTAGTTTTGAAGTGAGTAAGATCTTTAATCCAAAGTCTCGAAGCTGCTTTCACTTTATTGCTAAAAATAGTTTGACATTTGTTGGAATTAAAAGAGGGTTCGTATAGCCCTTGGAATAGAGTTAGAATATTATAAATCTTCCTTACAGTAAGTTTAGAAGCATTTGAAAAAATAATTACATGATCAGCATATATAAGATGTCCAATGTTAAAATTTGCTTTATTAGCAAACCAAATATATTTATAGGATGAATAAGCCTGATTCAGTAATTTGGAAAAATAATCCATAGCCAAAATAAAGATGGTGGGAAAAAGTGGATCTCCTTGCTTTATTCCCCTTGTACCTTGAAATAAACCAGAAGAATTTCCATTGATGAGAATGGTATAATAATTGGTTTGTAACCATCATTGAATAATTTGGCAAAAGTTAGAAGGAAAACCTTTAGCTTTTAGGACAGCTAAAATAAACTTCCATCTTATTGTATCATAAGCTTTAGAAAGATTTAACTTGAACATTAAATTTCCAGCTCTGCAAGGACGATCAATATCCAGAAGAAGCTCTTGAGTTAGAAGAACATTATCAGCTATATGCCTACTCTTAACAAATGCAAATTGATTATGGGAGATAATAAAGGGTAGAAGTTTTTATATTATGACCTCTAGAACTTTATTGGTAATCTTTGAAATAACCGTAGTAAGAGCAATTGGTCTGAACTTATCCCAGCTACTCTTAATATCATCTTTTGGTAAAAGAGTTATAACAGAGATGACAAAATATTTAGGCATAGTGACACCTCTGAAGAAGCTTTGTACAACTACAATAACCTCCTTTTTTTTACTATAGACCAGGATTTGATGTAAAAATGGGAAGTAAAACCATCTGCACCTATAGTTTTCTTCCTTCCGATCAATAGTACTTAAAATCTTCCAAATTTCATCTCCAGAAGGAATATAAGTCAGATCAAGAGTGGAAGTAAAATGTATATCAACAACAAATAGAAAATCATCAAAAAGATTAAAATTACAGATATATGGAACATTCATAACTGCTAAAAATATTGTACTGCATTAAGTGAGATATGATCAGTATCATGTAACCAAGTACCATTACCATCCTTGATCTTAAAAATAACATTAGAATTCCTCCTATATTTAATACATACATGATAAAATTTGGTATTTCGATCCCCATCAATAAATCTCTTCATAGCAGCTTTTTGTTTGAAGAAATTTTCCTCATAATTAATTGCTTAAACCAGATTAGCATTAGCAGAAACAAGTTCTTCCTCAATAATAAGACCCAGAGCTACATCAGTTTATTCTTTAATAAGAGCTTTTTCAGCCTCGTTAACTTTATGAGAAAGATCACAAAAAGCATTCTAATTCCAGGATATAAGCTGTTGAACCACTGATTTTTGGACAAACCAAAGTCTTTTCCAAGGAGCAAGAGTATCATTAGGAAACCATACAAATTTTAGATAAGAGAGAAAATCACAATGTTCAGTCCAAACATTAAAAAATTTGAATCTAGCCTGGGGTTTAGAACATGAAATAGAAAAAGAAAACAATAGAGCTCTATGATCAGAACAAGTATAACGAAGATGGGAGACCATAGAATATTGATAAGTATCTATCCACTGAGAATTTACTAGGAATCTATCCAATCTTTCATGTGACTTCCCTCTTTTTCAAGTATCTAAAGGATCTTGGAAAAGAAGTTCAACCAACTGAGTAGCAGTAATGTTATCAGAAAAAATAGTTTTTTTTTTTCTAAATCAATAGGTTTACCACGCCACTTCTCATTAGGGTTTGCCACACTATTAAAATCACCACTAACTAACCAAGTCCCTTGAATAGTAGTTTCCAATGTTCTTAAATGTCTTCGAAGCTTCTCTTTATCTTCTAGTCTACTACTAGCATAGATAATAGTAGCAGTAGTATCCAAATAATCCCACTTGAGAAGAACATTAAGAAATTGATCACGATTCACAATTACAAGATACTGAATGTATTTTTTGCAAAATAACCATATTTTGCAATTGGTATTAGAAACAATATCAAAATGAGAAAAAAACTTCTAGTAATCTTTTTAGGAAGAGTGTGAGTAAGAGGTTCCAAAATAGCAAAACAAGAAAAATGATGAATTTTATTAATATTTTTAAGTCTCATCAAAGAATTAGAATTAGAGATTCCCCAGATGTTCCAACACATCATTTTGATCATAAATTCGAAGTTTTGGAGACTCTAATAGGTCTCTCGGGTAACTGTTTCTGACAAGGTTCTACTAAATTATCATTTAGCAGATTTTTTTAACTCCCAATTTCCTTTATGTTTCCTTCTACTTTTCTGAGCTTCCCAATTCTCCACCATAGAATGTCTCAGATGAAGTAAACAGTCATCAATAATATCTATTTCATTTGAAGAGTTAGCAATAGGATAATTAATCCTTTCTGACATCTCAATGACAATATTAGAAGGTAAACAGGATGAAGTAGCTTGTTTTGTAACTGGATCAGTAATATTGTGAATATTTATTTGCAACTATGTTGGAATTGGAGAAGGAATATGTAAAGTTATGGCTATAGGTTTAGCAATCAATGTACCATTCCTATTACTATTAATTTCTTGCAAGCCACCTCTTGCTTCCAATGGCATACCAATAGAATTCAACACATTATCAGTAACAATATTGATAGTTATATCATCTTTTTGAATAGGAGTTTCCAGCTAAAGAGAAGAAAGTGTCTGCAGTGGAATAGAAATAATATCAGAGGGAAAATTCTGCTT